GGTGGCTCAGTGCCTGGTGAGGATGGTTGGTGGCTCAGTGCCTGGTGAGGACTGTTGGTGGAGTCTGGCTCAGAGGGGAAGATAACACTGGGTTCTAGAGTAGGTGGGGGCTCCTGTGAGGGGTGGAACTGGGCTCCGAAGAACGAGCAGGATTTGGGTGGGAGTTAGAGAGGGGAGAGGTCATTCTCTTCTGCAGAATCAGAAGGTATGGTTGAAAGATAAGCCTACAAGTAGGCAGATAAACTTGTGCCTTGCCTATTTCAGAACTTAGGCAAGTAGAAACTTGTCTTCTCCTCCCACCTCCCACCATATTATCCATAGTTTTCACCCCTCTCCCCCACCCGGCGGTATGCATATGCGTGGGTGCTTGCACACACATACACACACACACACACACACACACAGCCTCAAGGAAGCTGCCAACCTGATCTTACCTGTAATCCTGGGTGTGTTTGAAGTAGATGCTGGGGAGATGGTGCCAAGGGAAGCAGCCAGCCATGGCACACTCAGAAAGTATGAGTGAGGGGAGGAGGTGTGGCGCGTGGAGGAGAGGCCTTGGATAGCCTCTGGACAGAAGCCAGCTCCTTTCTGCTGTCTGAGGTCTCCACTGTTGTAGCCTGTTGGCCTGGCAGAGCCTGCCCTTCACACCTTGGTTTTCCTGGCTGTGAATAGGGAAGCAATGCCCTGCCCCTCCCTTCCAGAGGGCTCGGGTTTGGGTCGTTCTGGGTGGGCCTTACTGCCCTGGGAGCCTTTGCTGGCCATCTTCCTCCCACGCCTGAGTCCTTGGCACTGCCCGGCAGGGCTCTTTCTAGAGCAGGGCAGGAGGAACTGGGCCCAGTGGACAGCAGGAGCCTGGGTGGAGATATTCTTAGGCCATGGCGGGGCTCATCTGAGCCTCCTGTGGCTGTTGTGTGGGGACTGTCTTCCTCTGCCCTGATCCCATAGGGAGCTCGAGCCACCTCTAACCAGCTTCTTCCTCCCACCAGGATCGTCGCTGGATTTTCTCTGAGACAAGCCCACCCGTCCAGCAAAATAGAGTCCCTCAGGGTGACAGTTGACTTCCTGAAGGTGCCTCTTGGCCTGAAGAAGCCGGTGCTGAAGGAGGTGGCTGTGGGGCCCCCCAAGAGGCCCCAGCCTGCGGCCCTGGAGCGCTACAAGGCGCGGCGTTCAGACGCCATGGACACCGAGTCCCAGTACTCGGGATACTCCTACAAGTCGGGCCACTCCCGCAGCTCCCGCAAGCACAGGTGGGCAGGCATGCAGGGTGACGTGGGTGGCAGAGGGAGGGTCGGGGGGCCATTAAGAGGCGGGCACATGCAGGGGTGGCGGGGTGGGGTGGCTGCCCGGAAGACCCTGGTCCAGAACTGGACTTTCTGCGCCTCTTCTGGCTTCCCGCCGCAGGGACCGCCGGGACCGACACCGCTCTAAGAGTCGAGATGGGAGTCGAGGGGACAAGTCGGTGACAATCCAGGCTCCCGGGGAGCCCCTGCTGGACAATGAATCCACACGAGGGGATGAGCGGGTGAGTACTGGGGATGCGGTGGTCCAGGCCAGGCATTTTCAGGGTGCTCCTGAGGAGTTGGAGGCTCCATGGAGCAAGGAAGGGCTTGGAAACCTGGTCTCAGACAGGTGCCAGATCGGGGAGTGTGGCTTGTGTTATACTTAGCTTGGCTTAGTGTCTTAAGGTAGGACCTTCAGGAATTTCAGTATAGAGATCCCTCTGGAAACAGCAGCCTCTCCTTATCTCCAGAGGGTCGGGGGTGACCTGGGCTGCCCAGCTCGTCTGGAGCTGTGGCCAGCCAGTCAGGCCTGCTGGGAGTCTGGAGCAGGAGAGCGGTGGTGGTGGCTGGGCCTGAGGTGCATGTGGGCAAAGCTGAGCTTTCCTGGAGCCTCGAGGTGTGGGCACTCTGTGCCCTCTGGTGCCAGCCCGTAGAATGGCATTACCTGGGTCTTCGGGAAGGAGTATGGGAAGAGTAAGTGAAGAGAGCCGGAGGGAGAAGAGGTGAGGCTGAGGGATGGCACAGGGACCCCGGGAGAGAGTTCTCCAGGACAGGGGTGAGAAAGTTTTCTGTTCTAACCTGTCACCTGCTGTGTTCACCTGGTAGGGAAGACAGTGGGCAGAGCACAGTCCTGGAATAGGGCAGAGGCAGGATTTGAGGTGATGACACTGAGGTTGCCCAAGTCTCATTCCTCTTGGGAGCATCTTTGGGTCTGGAGACTCCCAGATCCTTTTTCCTCAGAAGAAAGCTCTATGGCTGACATTGGGAGTTCCTGGGCCTTGGGAGCAGGTCAATACCTGAAGGAAATGTCCTTTTTCCCTCTCTCCCGATCCCTTCTCCCTGGGGCCTGGCCTGGCCTCCTGAGTTCTTGAAGTGACCCTGAGACGTGACCCTGAGACATGACCAGCTCGCCTTCTACTGGGGAGGAGATCCAAGCCCTTGGTCCTTGGAGGGGGTGGGCAGTATGTCTGGGGGTCAGAGGGTGGGGAAGGGCTTGGAGCTTCCCAGGGCCTTGAGCTGAAAGCAGTCAGTGCATCCACGTTCTATCTTCACATCAGACTTGTTACCCCTCCTGTGGAGAGGAGGTTCCCAACCTCCCTAATCACTGGTGCTGCTGGGCTGCCTCCGTCCTGTAGCCTGAACGTCCTGGGTGATAGGATGTGACTCCATATCCCCAGGCTGTCCCAGGAGTGAAGGGTGTGGGCACTGAAGGCCGCTGGTGGTCTGTGGGACTCCTCTGTGGGATGGCCTCCAGCCACTGCAGAGAAACAGCTTGAGCAGAACACTTAGACCACACTTAAGGGGCACCTGGGGACCTCAGCCTGGCCACCTTCTTGCCTTCAGGGACAGACAGCCTCTGTGCTGTAGACATTTAGATGGCTCAGCAGAGGTGGCCTTGCAGACCAGAGACCCAGGGTGGCCCTGAGTCTGCACAGTGTCCTTCACCTTCACCCCTTTACTCCTGGGGTCTTCTCTGTGCTACTCTGGTCTGGTTACTCCCTTAGTTGGAAACCTGCGGTGGCTCTCTGTGCCTGGAGAATGGGTGCTTATTGCCTAGCCCTGCACTGCAACATGACCTGCACAAGCCCCGCCTGGCTGCTCTTGGCCTCACCTTCCTGGCTGCACCTTGCTGTGCTGCTGCACATGGATTTTCTGCTCTCATAGCGCTTGGCTGCCTCAGTTCATGCCATTCCTGCCCCAAAGGCTCCTCCTCTAGCTTCTGCTGAAATGATGGCATGCTGGAAGGAACTTAGATAGGACTTCTAGAATTAATGTTAATGTGTGAGTGATTCATGTGGATCTTGTTAAAATGCAGATTCTGGTTCAGTAAATGTGCGGTGGGCCTGAGGTTCTGCCTTTCTAACAAGCTTCCGGGTGATGGCCACACTGTTGGTCCATAGATCACATTTTGAGTAGCCAGTCCTTAAAGAGAATTAGGTTCAGCAATTCTCAATCTTGGATGACCACTAGAATCATCTGGGGAGCTTTTTTTTTTTTTTTTTTTTTTTAGCAGGTCACATTCTCCAATAATTAACATTATTTTCCAACCTCCCTAAGTGATTCTAATGTGTGCACCTGGGATTGGGGACGTCTTCCTGTTCCCTGCCCCAAGGATCAGCTCAGGTCCCCCCGTTTCTCGAAGCTTGCCTGCCTTGCTTGGCAAATTTGCCCTTGGATCCTAGTCACTGCCTGAGCAGCTCCTCCAGATGTCCCGTGCTGTCTGCCCTGAGGGTCATTGCTGCATGCGTGGCTTTTCCTCTCTCACTGACCAGGATCCAGCTCCCCGAGGGCTCGGGTCTTGGTCTTGGCTGTCTGCAGAAGCCAGACCTTGACACGCAGTGGAGCTCAGTACATGCTTCGATGGTTGCATATTTGTTGATTACTCTCTCTTCTTTCTGCCTTCTCCTTTCCCACGTGTTCCTCTCTGTCTCCTTTCCCCTCACCCTCTCTCCTGTCCCCCGCCTCTTCCTCTTCTTATCCTTTCCTCCTTATTGTGTGGCCGGCCCCCTTCTGCCTGTAGGATGACAACTGGGGGGAAACAACGACAGTAGTAACGGGCACCTCAGAGCACAGCATCTCCCATGATGACCTCACGCGCATCGCCAAGGACATGGAGGACAGTGTCCCGCTGGACTGCTCCCGTCACCTGGGTGTGGCAGTGGGGGCCACCCTGGCGCTGCTTTCTTTCCTCACACCGCTGGCCTTCCTGCTGCTGCCCCCACTGCTGTGGCGGGAGGAGCTGGAGCCCTGCGGGACAGCCTGCGAGGGCCTCTTCATCTCCGTGGCCTTCAAGCTGCTCATCCTGCTGCTGGGCAGCTGGGCTCTGTTCTTCCGCCGGCCCAAGGCCTCGCTGCCCCGCGTCTTTGTGCTGCGTGCCCTGCTCATGGTGCTGGTCTTCCTGCTCGTGGTCTCCTACTGGCTCTTCTATGGTGTGCGCATCCTGGATGCCCGGGAGCGCAGCTACCAGGGCGTGGTGCAGTTCGCCGTGTCGCTGGTGGACGCCCTCCTTTTCGTGCACTACCTGGCCGTGGTCCTGCTGGAGCTGCGCCAGCTCCAGCCTCAGTTCACGCTTAAGGTCGTGCGCTCCACCGATGGCGCCAGCCGCTTCTACAACGTTGGCCACCTCAGGTACTAGCGCACAGCTGGAGAAGGGTGGGGAGGGAAAGGGCAGGGGAGGATGTGGAGTGACTGCTAGGGTGCGAGGGTGTGATGGAGGGCTGGAGGTGATGGGCTTGGAGGGCTGTGGGGGACGGAGTTGCGTACTTTGCACCAAGTAGGTTTTCACCAACGTTTGCTGCTTCATGGGCAGGTTCACAGTGGTGGGGCAAGATCAGTTGGGAGTTATGAGTTGGGAATGAACAGGCATTTAGAAGTAGGGAATATTAGAGGGGGATGGACCAAAGGGAAGAGATATTGGGGGGGTCACAAACAGGGGCTTTTTGGAATCCCTTTTCTAGTCCTTTCCGGGAGGCACAGCTTCTTGTGAGCACTTAGAGAGTGGCCTGTGAAGTGACCCCCAGAGAAAGAGATAAGGAGAATTCTTCAGCTCCCTGTACACAAGCCACCCCTCGAGGCCGCACAGAGTATCAGCGGCACGTCTTGGGTCCTGTAGAGAATCTTGGGGGAATGCTGGATGGGAATGAGGTGACCTTTGGCTGGGGACCCAGACCCAATGCCCTTTCTCTGCTGGGCTTTGGCACAGCAGGGAGGGACTAGCAGGCCCAGCCCTGGGAAAGGCTTGGGAGCCTGGTAAGTAGACCTCAGGCCCGGATCCAGCCTTCTTGGAAGCAGCTTGTCCCTGTCCTGCGCCCTCTCCTGCCCCGCCAACCTGCCCTAATGTGTCCCTTCCCGTGCCCCTTGTCTGTCCCTTCTCCTGCCCCCTCCTGCCGTCTCCCCCACAGCATCCAGCGCGTGGCAGTGTGGATCCTGGAGAAGTATTACCATGACTTCCCTGTCTACAACCCTGCCCTCCTCAACCTGCCCAAGTCCGTCTTGGCCAAGAAAGTGTCTGGCTTCAAGGTGTATTCCCTCGGAGAGGGTGAGCAGCCCTGCTCCTCTGCCCTTCCCTGTCTCTTCCCAAGCAGGACTCCAAGTTACCACCTCTCTCTTTGTCCCTTGCTTTTTCCTTTCCTTAGCCTATGTTCCAGCCGCTTCTGTTCAGTCACTTCCCTTGACTCCAGGTGGCTGATCTTAGCTGCTCATCCTACTTGCTGTTGCTTTATGCTATGGCGTGTCCCCGATCTGGCTCCTCTGTGTCTCTCATCAGCCCTGGTCTGAGCCCTTCGGCTCTCAGAGCTGCAGAACCTCCTGCACTGGGGAGGAACACCCGCAGGACTCCTGCGCTCCCAGTGCCTTCACTGTTGCTTTCCTGTGGCCTCTCCCAGAGGTGGCCAGGAGGGTTGGGATTGGGAGGTGTTGCTGGGTGGTGGGAACGGCTTCTTCTGGACATGCCAGGCTGCTGTCTCCAGAGCTCCTGGAGTGGGAAGAAAGGCCACACTCTGATGTGACCATCCCCTCTATCCTGTTCCTGTGCAGAAAACAGCACCAACAACTCCACTGGCCAGTCTCGGGCTGTGATCGCAGCGGCAGCTCGGAGGCGGGACAACAGTCACAATGAGTACTACTATGAGGAGGCTGAGCATGAGCGAAGGGTGCGCAAGAGGAGGGCCAGGTGGGTCCCTGGGGGAGAAGAGGAGGAGGAGAGGTGCTTGTGGGGTGAACTGGGAGTGGAAGACCACGGAACTTCTGTAACTGCTGGAAATACAGAGCAATGATGACGTGAGTGGGGGGTGTGTATTTGTTTTCCATTGCTGCCCTAACAGATTACCATAAACTTAGCAGCTGTGACATAGCACATATTTATTATCTCCCAGTTCCACGGGTCACGTGCAGGCTGGCTGAGGCTGAAATCAAGAGGACTCTCATTTGAGCCTATGCTTCCTCTTTCAAGCTCATTATTGTGGGGAAAATTCAGTTCCTTGTCACATGGCCCCATAGGCAGTTTACATGATGGCAGTGCATTTTTGTTCCCAGCAGAAACAGGTCTCTGACTCCTGCCACCAGCTGGAGATAACTCTGATTTTAAAGAGCTCATGTTAGATCAGGCCCAACAGGACAGTCTTGTTTGGAAGCCACTGACTTGGCACATTAATTACATTTGCAAAACGTGCTAAGATTGTTGTCTAATGAGGGGATGGGAGTTTGGTAGAAGTGGGGGGTATCTTTGAATTCTGCCTACCATCGTGAGGTAGGGACCCAATAAAGGGAAGCGAGCTTTACCTGCAACAGTGGGGACTCAGGCTGGACTAGGCTTCCTGCCAGTAGATCTGGAGGGCACTCACCAGAGGGTGCTTTTGTTGCCTTCAAAACATGAGGTTCTAGTGCCTACATTTTGATAAATTCTTAAATGCTGTCCTCACTTCTTCCTTTCCCTGTTCGAATTATTATGTGGGTGTAGTCAACCCTGAAGAATCTTACCTGATGCCTACTCTGCCGGGTCCCGTCTTGGTCTGTCGGGAGTTCCCTGAAGGAGGAGCAGAGTGCCTCGGGACTTGACTATGCACCTGCCCTTGGTCCCACCTTCCACATGATCTCCAGGCTTCAAGGGCAAGAGGTAGCCCTTACCCTGTTCTCATAGGAGGCTGGCATCCCCTGCAGTAGAACAAAGATCACCAACTCCATTTCTGCGGCATTCCAGCCTATCTCTAGTTGTCTTGGAAATGGCCCTCATGGGAAGGAAACCAGCGATGTCCCTACTCCTTTACCCTCTGCCCTGACCAGGGTCATTGAATCTCCTGTGCTGCCACCACCATTTTTGGCACATAGAGAACTCTTTCCTTTCCCCATTACCTTGCTTGTAACCAGGAGCAAACTTTCTCCTTTGTTTACCCGAGATAAAAGGATCTTTTCAAAAGGAATTTACTGAGGAATGTAGGGGAAGCAAGAGAATAAAGAAATGATAGACATACACAGATCCACACCTGCGTACCCAGAGTCCCGTTTGAAATGACTGAAGTTCCCGGTCTCCTGGGTTCCTGCATATTAGGCTGCAGGCCTCACTTTCTTCCTCCTGTCACTTCAGGCCGGTCCTGCTCTTAGGCCAGGGGGGTTTCGGTTTGGTTTTTGGACTCGAAGTGCAGAGAATTGCATTATTTGCTCTTTTCAGCTTCTAACGTATTGTCATTATAGGGTTCCTCATGGTTCTTTATTCTGTTTTCTCTTTTCCTCCAGTTTCTTCTTTCACTCCAGCCCCATTTAGGCATCCAGCTGAGTGTGTTTGATTTCCTTAAAACCTGTATGTATCCTCATGCAAAGTTAGTGTAGTCATCTTTGTTGGTGTTGGTGTGTGTGTCGGTATGGTTTTTTTTTGTTTTTTTTTTTTGAGATGGAGCCTCGCTCTGTTGCCCAGGCTGGAGTGAAGTGGCGCGATCTCAGCTCACTGCAACCTCCGCCTTCTGAGTTCAAGTGATTCTCCTGCCTCAGCTTTACAGATGGGTACCACCATGCCCAGCTAATTTTTGCATTTTTAGTAGAAGTGGAGTTTCACCATGTTGGCCAGGCTGGTCTCGAACTCCTAACCTCAGGTGATCCGCCCATCTCACCCTCCCGAAGTGCTGGGATTACAGGCATGAGGCACCACGCCTGGCCATCTGTATGCTTTTAATGTAAACAGACCTCTTTTTCCTGCTTCCTCCTTAACGCCGTGTTTTTGAGATTCATCCCTGTTGTCTGTACATCTAGTTTGTTGCATCTTTCTGCTGCACAGTAGTTCATGGAATACTCCCGACATCCTATCCAATATTCGGATTATGGTTATCTTCTTTTTTCCATTTTGATGGATAAGTAGGATCTTATTAATATTTTCATTTGTATCTCTCTAATTGCTAGCCAGTAACTACTTTGTATATTTTTTAGCCTTTCAGTCCTCTTGTGAATTTTCTGTTCACCTCCCTTGCCCTATTTTCTCTAGGTTTCCTACCTTTTTCTTCTTTACAGAAACTGTAGCAAATTCCTTGCGTGTTCTAGCTATGAATCCCTTGTGGGTTCTAGATATGTATATTTCCCCAACTTCATCAGATGTCAGTTAATGTTGTCCATGCTATCATGGTTGAATAGAAATCTGTCATTTTGATGTAATCACGTCTACGAATTATTGATCCAATGAAGTATGATTTGGGGGTCTTATTGAAGGAGGTTTTCCTTACAGTTTGATGGAATGCTTGGTCTATCCCATAGCACAGTTCCTAGTTGTCTCTCTGGGTTTGACGCTAGATTTGCCCTCAGTCCCTGGGCTGGGCCCACTGAGCTCTGTGGCTGTTTCCCATTCTCAGTGGGAGAAAGGTACTGTTGCCCCTGGCTTTGTATTGCTTTGGGTGAACACAAAGGCCTGACTTCATTCAGGCTGCTGGAGTATTGGAGCTAGGGGAGAGGGGTGGGTGAGGGAAAAGAGATGTGGGCATCTGGCCCAGACCCCTCCTGTCCCCTAGGCTTGTAGTGGCGGTGGAGGAGGCCTTTACTCACATTAAGCGGCTGCAGGAAGAGGAGCAGAAGAACCCCAGGGAGGTGATGGACCCCCGGGAGGCAGCCCAAGCCATCTTTGCATCCATGGCCCGTGCCATGCAGAAGTACCTTCGGACCACCAAGCAGCAGCCCTACCACACCATGGAGAGCATCCTGCAGCACCTTGAATTCTGCATCACGCACGACATGACGCCCAAGGTGGGCCTGCCCTGCTGCCAGCACCCTTCCTCCTTCCCCAGCTCTTCTCTCCCACCTTTGTTTTCCCTTATTCTCTCACTTCTTTCCTCACTGTCCACCCCATTTCTCTCTCCTCTCCACCTCCTTTTTACAATCCTCTCCCTCGTTCCTATTCTATCTGCCCCATCTGTGTGGGGTGAAGTCCTTAGGTGGATGAGGAGAAGGGGGGTCTTCAGTACCATTTTGGGGATGGCTGAGACTTAGTTCTCATCTCTATGAGGGCTCTGGAATTACCAGAGCCAAAGGCCCGTCTTTACCCCCATTACCCTCTTCACCTCCACTAGCTGGTCTTGGCGCTGGGCTCATTTTGAGCCATTGCCCACCCCCAGCTCTGTTGCCAGCTTCCTAGAATTGCTTTCCCTGAGCTACCCTTGGTGAACAGGTAACTAAAGACGTTGCACTTTAACACCTCTGGCTCCCTCCTGGTGCAGACCTGCTTGGCACAAATCATACAAGCTGTGTGGGAAGGAAGGAAGAATGAGGGAGGGCTTGCCCAGGTCACAGCCTGGTGCAGGGAGAAGAGCAGAAGGTGGGGGTCCTGGGAGCCGAGTTGAGTCCTACCTGAGGAGCACACCGCCCTGTGCACTCCAGCTTCCTCGTTTATAAAATGAGGGTCTGAAGCAGATGATCTCAGGCCCCTTCCTACTGTAACATTGTGACGTTCTAGTTCATATGCATAGAGTGAGCTCAGGGATGTCCCTGTTGCTTTTGGAGACTATGGCCCACAGGATGACGGATAGTGGGTGGGTGACGGGGATTCTTATGTAGCGCCTTCTTTCTTCTTCAGGCCTTCTTGGAGCGATACTTGGCGGCCGGGCCTACCATCCAGTACCACAAGGAACGCTGGCTGGCCAAACAGTGGACACTGGTGAGCGAGGAGCCGGTGACCAACGGGCTCAAGGATGGCATCGTTTTCCTCTTAAAACGCCAGGACTTTAGCCTGGTGGTCAGCACCAAGAAGGTCCCATTCTTCAAACTCTCCGAGGAATTTGTGGATCCCAAGTCGCACAAGTTTGTCATGAGGCTGCAGTCGGAGACCTCAGTGTGACTGTGCAGCAGCAGGCGGAGTGGGAGACTTTGGGGGGCTCTGGAGGGGTGGGAGGGGGCTTGGTTCTCAGGCCCAGCCACATTCCTGCCACCCTTCTTCTTGCTCTTGTTTTTGTTTTTTGCTTTTTACTTGAATTAACTTACCCCACCTCTCTCCTCGCCTCTTCCTTATTTTACCCCACGTGAACCTGGAGAGACCATCCTGCTATCAGCAGTACCTGGGAAGGACCCCCCAACAACTTTTGTGTTACTCCGGGCCTGCAGGAATCAGTGCCTCTCTCCCTCTTCTTTCCCCAGACTACACTCTATCCTGAAAGGGCCCAGGGCCCTGTGATTGGACCTTCCCCTCCCGAGCCCCTACTCACAAACCCAAGTTCTTGTAGCATTTCTCTCCAGTGACCCTAACGGGGTTTCTCTGGGGCACATGGACGTGACTCCAGAGAGCCACAGTGCCAAACTCCTCCACGGCAGCGGCTGGCCCTCCTGTCCCTCACCCCAGCCACAACAAACCCTGGGTTGTGAGCCAGGGATCCTTCTGTCACACAGCTCCGGTTAGGAATCTCCTTGCCAGGAGCATTTGCTTCCACACATATTGAAAGCAAAGAAGGATCCCCTCCTTTTCCCAGAAATCTCCACCTCATGTTTTTGATTTGTATGGTCACGTGACCATAGGCAAACAGGTGGAAACCCTCTGTGATCACTTTTACCAGGGAAGGTACCTTTCTTCCAGTGTGTCTTTCCTAATTAGCTTCTGAAGAGGAGGGCTGAACAGATCCCTGAGGTTTTGGAGGGACCCCGTCACTGACCTGCTCCCTGACCCTACCCTCACCTTCGTCCCCACTCTTCCCAGTGAAGGGTGGTATGCAGACTCCTGTACAGACTTAGCGGCTTGCAGACACTGATCCGGCCCCTGTGGTCTTAGACAAATGTTTTCATTTTTGTCACCAGCCACCCCCGTCCTGCTGTCTTCTCTCGACTCCAGAGACCTGTTGCCTCATCTCTTTTGGGGAAGAGCTGGCAGCTCCTCCTCGCCCCCTGCCTTAAGTCCAGTTCTTTGCCTCAGGGGTCTCCTTTCCTTGGCCTTCCAGGGTCCCTGCCCCTTCTCTCCCTGCCTGATTCTCTGGGCTCTGGGCTCTGGACTCCCTCTGTATTGCAGTGAGGGACCAGGATTACTGCCTTTTGTAGGTACTTCACCCCTTACCCTGTTTTAGCTTCCATAGTCTTTGCACCAAATCCAAATTCTTGATATTTTAGATCTCAGTTTGAGCAAAATTTGCTGGCCCTCTAATAAATATTTTCAATATAAATCAGAGCCTTTGACTCAAACATTTTTGCCAAGGAGAATAGAATTAGGGAGTACCCATATACATCCAGCCAGGATCCACATGGAGGACCGTTCTGGTGGCTGGAATGACTGGGCCAGTCCTCTGAGTAACTCAGTGTCCCTTTATAGGCCCTTCTTTCCCCTGGAAGACTCGTTGTTACTTACCTTGCAGAGCACATCCTGGCATAAGATCCCCGGGGACTCCCTGTGTAGTGGCAGCCCTGGGAATGATGGAGCCTAGTGATCGGCGTTTCTCCTGCTGTCCTTTCTGCAAAAGTTTACCTGTTCACCCACCACATGCTAGTGAGGGGCTCATCGGCCAGTGCTACCTTGTTCCCAAAGGGGTGGGTTGTGGAGCTCATTTAGGCAGGGCTTCTGGCTAGGGCCGGGGTTATGGGTTAGGCCGGTGTGAAATACGTCCTGTTCTGGGGGCCTGTCTCTTTTCTTCTCGTTAAAAACCTGGTGTCAGAGGAGTCCCTTCTGAGTTACATAAATACCTCACTATCCTGAAAAACAGGGCCTGGATGGTGACTGGGGTCATTGCCTTTGTGGGCAGGATGGAGTGTGGTGTGGTCTGAGGAGCAGGTTCGGTTTGGGGTGAGGGAAAGGATTTGGGATCTTAGTTGCTGCCCTAGGTTGAGGGCTGGGGAGTGTTTATTTTAAGATCCTGCCATGTTTTTAATCACTGTGATTTTTTTCATTCCCGTTTTCTAAATAATAATTTTTTCCTCCAACTCTCTCTCTAAGCACTAAGGGCTGTGACTGAGAATGGTAGCATTTGGGTCCTTTGCATCAGAACTGTGGTATCTTTGTCTTCTCTGATGATGATTATTATTGTTGCTTTTTAAAATGTCAGGATGAATTGTCAAATGTATGGCTGCGTGTTTGTCCTTTTCCTCTCCTCTGTGGGAAGTTGTCTCCATGCTGTGAACTGCCGTGGGGTGTGCGGCTGACTCAGTCCGCCTGAGCAGTCTCCCCACTATGCTGTCCCACCATGCGCTGGATCTGCTCATTCTCCTGCTGCGGGGGTGTGCCCACCTCTTGCCCCCTTGTCACCATAGGGCTTCTGTGGCTGGGCCTCTGCAGCACTCTCTTTTGTGTGACTCATGGCATCCTCGCTCATCCCCACCGTGCCTAGCAGGCCTTCCTCTTCACCGCCTCGAAATGCTTGCCCTCCCTCGCTCCACACCAGGTCACTGTGCCTCAGTCCTTCACCTACCTCGCCACTTGCCACTGTCCCCATTGGTCCCTTTCTCCTAAACTAGTCTTCGTGCTCTCTTTGTTTTTTCTCATTCATTTCCCTCTTGTCTCTCATCTTTTCGTCCCATTCTCCTTCCATTTCAGCCCTTAACTTTTTCTCTTCCCCATCTCCACTCAGTATTCCAATGGCAAACCCTGATACAACACCTGTGGTGAGACATCGGGCTCTCCGGAACTTTCTCAGCTGACAGTCTTTTTCCCAGGGTTCGCGCTTCGCTTCTCCTCCATTGGTCCCAGGTGAACTCCCCTGCTCCTCTGTGGTGTCTGTCAGTCTGTCTGTCTTCTCCCTCCTCTGCCCTTCCCACAGGACAGTATCTGCTGATGGATTCAGTCCTGGTGTGTGATTGTTGTTAATTTGTTCTTCTGTGCGCAAAAGGAAGGGGGCTTTTTGAGTCCCTTCCAAGTGAGATTGTAAATGTAGAATTTTCCACTGTTGGATCTAGATTTTTTTTTTCTTTTTTTGGGGGGTTACAGAGCTGAGACCTTGTGCATGCATGTAGAAAATTGTAAAATGTAAATTTTTTTTTAATATATAAAAAGCTTGTTTCTACAGTTTGCAGTGGATCTAAACATTATGGCAATTTTAGGGTTTTTTTTCTTAAACATAGGAACTAAAACTGTACAAATTTTTTTTATATAAAATAAAGACATTTGACTTTTGTGGGGGCATTCTGTTTCTTTTCTTTCTTTCTTCTTCTTCTTTTTTTTTTTTTACAGGAATGGGAGCAAAAGAGGGCAAGGGAAGAATGAACATATACTTCTTGCTAGGGAGTGAATGGGCAGGAGGGGGCAGTGTGAGCTCGTCATTGCCTGCAGGCCTTCAGGGTATGTTGGAGAGAAATTGGAAAATGAAAAAGGAAATTGCTTATTCCGAATCCTGATTCTAAAGAGAGAGAAACAAGGATGTGGGGACTCAGCAACTTCCCAGTGTAGTTGTCAGGATAAAAAAAGAAAGATTACTTCCTAGGTCCATCCTCCCGAGTAAGCTTGTGCTGGATGGCCTCTAGGGCAGGAGTGGGTTTCTAAAACGTCTTTCTAAAACAGAAAGTGCCATAAGAATTTCAGGGGATAGGTGAGATTTCAGTCCATGGTGACAGCTCATCACATTTCATTAAGACAGGTTTCTGAAGTGTGTGTCTTAGTTCTAGATCTGTAGAGAGTTCATTGCTCTGTTGTCATTGTAATGCATGTAATCAGGCTCTAGAATCATCCTCAAGAGATCGGGGCCCTTCTCCCAGGCTTACCCGGACCTGACCTTCTCTGTGACTTTTCACAAGATGCTTAGCATGTAAACAGCCCTCTAAGGCTAAAAACAAACAAGCATTCCTGTGTGGAGGTGGCCTATTCACTAGATTTCCTCCTCCTCTCCCCTGCATTATACTCTGCCAGGCTCTGGAGATGCAAAGGCAAGAGAGGCTCCATCCTGGAGGACGACCCAGTTTACAGGGGTGACAGGCGGGGTGACCCAGTGCAAGGCTTCCTGGCATGTTTTCAGGCAGAGCGCAGACTAACCCTCGGGGAATTTCCTTCTTCAGGAAATCTAGGGAGTTTGTTTAAGACTCAAGATGGGGAACACACTCACCTTGAGATTAGGTTTTGTTCATCTAAGTATTTCTAGAATCAAAACCAGTTCCTCGCATGTAGTTGGTGCTCAATAAAAACTTATTGAATGAATAATGAAGTTAATAAATAACAATACAATAGGGGCTCATGAACGGGATCATACACTTGCTTCTCCCTTTAAAATTGCACTCAAGTCTTTCTCATGGGAAAACAAACAAAAATACTTCCCTTGAAACCGCATCTCCCATTTTCACGACTTTGTTCTTTTTGTAACCAGGCTTGCAGACTAGTTTTACTTGCTGTTTTCAGTTCATCTTAGAGTCAACTTGTGACTTATTCTATGACCAGATTTCTACCTTAGCCTGCCTCTGAAATTATTCTTGTTCTGAATAGCCAAGTATAGTAAACACCTTTTAAGTTTAGTCTTTATTTAGTGGTTATGATGTTCCCAGCCTGATACTAAAGTGCTTTGACTGGTAAAGATACTGGATATGGTCCTGCCCTTGCTGAGCTTACCTTGGTGACCCTTGAGGAGCCTAGTTAACCTCAGGGACCTCCTCCTCTAACACCAGCTCAGGAGTTCATAGATTTAAGGCCAGACCTCAATGCTGGACTGATAAGATCATATTTTTTCCAGAGGTTTGCCACAAGCAAAAGTAATAATCCTGACCATTTGTCATGTAGCAAAGGGTCTTTGCAACTTTTGTCTGAAAGGATGTGTTTTCCATGGAAGTAATTCACATAGCCCTGAAGATAGAGACTCAGCTTGGTGGATTATCAGGATCATTCCTGGGACTTCATGACGTTACATGTGATTACATGTGATCACATATGCTGCTCATGTGTGACTTTTTTCTTTTCAGCCTTTGACTTTGAAATGCAGCTGAGAAGGGGAGCTGGGGGCTGGGGCTGGAGCTCTGGAAGAGGAGACATGAAGATCTTTAGACCCAGGTCTTAGTGATTTGTTTTTCATTTTTTAATTTTTTTTTGTTACTCGTTTTTTTTTGTTTTGTTTGGGATAGTTTAATGGCTTCTACAGACTGAAAGTCAGCTTGCTTAAAGTAACCATTGGCTTTCTTGCTACTTAAGCATATGATAGAAATTCTCTTTCAGTTGCCAGGAAGGCTGGGGTAGAGGCAAGTCAGCCTTTGGAAAACCACTGCATTAGTATACACACGGTCATGGAAGATGCCAGGGAGATAATAAAGGACCACCTACATAGTAAATCCTGGAGAATAGTCATCTCTGTCAGCTCCCCAGTTTCTTTTTAGGCTGAGAATGGGGTCCATTTCCCTTGTTACAAAGGGCAGGGCAAACATGATATCCTAGCTGCTCATAACAGTGAATGCCAGATTTAAGTATGTGGAATGGTGGGAGATGGTACTGGTTTGGAGCTGGGAAACCTGGGCAAGACATTGGCTTCTCTCTTCTCGGCAAGTTTTGGGGGCACACTTACTGTGTGATAGGCATTGTGATACAAAGATAAATAAGACATTGCCCCCCTTTCCTTGGAGCTCATGGGACTTTTGCTAGATAAGTTGGGAGTTTTATTTTGTGCATTTTGTAGGCAATCTGAGGAAATACACTATTTTTTTTCTGGAGGTGGTAAATACCATCTGCAAAAGGCACACTGAAGCCAACACTATGTGAGCGTATTATTGAGCCTGATATGTAAACTATTTTGATGCCACTTCTCAGAAACAGCCATCTGTACTCTGGTATTCTATAAGAGGAATGACTGGTTATAAAAATTAGAAGTATGAGATCTTCCGGTTTAGTCTTGTCCCTTCTTGCTTTTGGGTACAATTAGGTCATGCTGCTGCTTCACTTAGGGTAAGTATGTGGTTAAAAGTAAAACTGTGGATTTTTAGGATTTTTAGGGCAGTGGAACTACTGTATACAGTGCTATAAGTGCTATAAATGTGGGTACTTGTCATTATAAATTTTTCCAAACCCATAGGATATACAGTACCAGGGTGAAGCCTGATGTAAATTATGAGCTTTGGGTGATTAATTGTAACAAATGTACCATTCTGGTGTGGAATGTTGATAATGGGAGCACCCATGCAACTGTGGGGACAGGGAATTTATAAAAAAAAATCTCTGTACGTTCCACTCAATTTTTCTGTGAAACTAAAACTACTCTAAAAAGTCTATTTACACTTGACATCAGGAGTTTGAGACCAGACTGACCAACATGGTGAAACCCTATCTCTACTAAAAATACAAAAATTATTTTGGTAGCACATGCCTGTAATTCCAGCAACTTGGGAGGTTGAGGCATGAGAAATTGCTTGAACCTGGGAGATGGAGGCTGCAGTGAGCTGAGATCGCGCCACTGCACTCCAGCCCAGGTGACAGAGCAAGACTCTATCTCAATAAATAAATAAATAAATAAATAAATAAAAAGTCTATTTTAAAAAGCTGAGCACAACCTTACCTAGTTCTAGACACCACTCTAGTAATAAGAGTGATAGTATTACAGGTACTTGTGTTTCAGGGGGAAAAAGCACAAGTGTGTGCTCTTTCCCTTGAATCCCCTAACAGTGTCACTACGGAGCTTGGAAATCTGATGTAGACTACTGAAGAGGAAGGGGAAGCTCTGGTGGTCCCCCCATACTGTGACAACCAGAAATTTGCATGAGGGGACTTAAATGAGTCAGGAAACATGTGATTTAACTTAGTGAAGATTTTCTTTCCTTTTAAGTTCATGTTCATGTTAGTTCTCTTTGACAAACAAATGTGTGATTTGATGGTGGGGTTGGCTGGGACAGTTTTTATTGTAATAAAGAACACTTGTTGAAGGACTTCTTGTCTTCTGTCAGTTTGCTTATATCTTAACACAGTACCTCTGGCCTCAAAGATGGAATCCAGTTAAAAATCAGACAGAGCCAAACCATATCAGCAGGGAAAGCAGACCTTGTAGATTGCATTTTCAGCGACTGGTATGAGATTGTGTACTTCTGGTTTGGAGCATATTGAAGAATTTGACGCTGGGCAACCTTTTTCCTGGAATGAAATGTTTATGGGGTTTTTACTCTGTCTTGAAATAGGTCCCCAAAATAGAGTTTCTCAGACTTCAGTGGTGCATATAGTAAGTGTACAAATCATTTGAGGATCTTGTGAAATACAGATCCTGATTCAACAGGTCTGGGGTAAGGTCTGAGATTCCTTATTTCGACCAGGTGCCCAGGTATCTTAGTAAGCTCAGGCTGCCATAACAAAATACAGTAGACTGACTGGGTGGCTTAAAATCCAGAAATGTATACCTCGTAGTTCTGGAGGGTGGAAGTCTGAGAGCAGGGTGCCAGCATGGGTGGGGTCTGATGAGGGATCTCTTCCTGGCTTATAGGATGCTGTCTTCTTGTTGTGTCCTCACATGGCAGAGAGAGAAAGAGAGAGAGAGAGCGCGCAAGAGAGCCAGGTTTCTCATGTCTCTTCTTATAAGGGCACTAATTCCATCATGAGGGCCCTATTCTCATAACACCATCTAAATCTAATTACCTTCCAAAGGCCGCATCTCCAAATAACATCAAATTAGGGGTTAGGCTTCAACATATGCATTCTGGGGGAACACAATACAGTCTAAAGCACCAGGTGCTCCTGTTGCTACTGTTCTACAGATCTTATTTTGAGTAGCAAGGCCCAAAAGAAGCCTAATATACCCCTTACAATTCCAGGGTTCTAAACATGCCTTACTTAACTCTAAGATAATTGATGCAAGAGATCAAAATTGTCTTCTGCTAGCTTTTGAATTTGATCTTGCGCCTCTAATTCTTTTCATTGTGACCATAGGGTGTTGATTTTAGATCTTTCCTCACTTATCACACGGGTATTTAGTGCTATAAATTTCCCTCTAGACACTGCTTTAAATATGTCCCGGAGATTCTGGTACATTGTGTGTTCATTCTCATTGGTTTCAAAGAACATCTTTATTTCTGCCTTCATTTCATTATTTATTCAGTAGTCATTCAGGAAACTATAAATGTAATTCATCACATAAACAGGGCCAAAGACAAAAAACACATGGTTATCTCAATAGACACAGAGAAGGCCTTTGACAAAATTCAACAGCCCTTTGCTAAAAACTCTGAATAAACTAGG